ACGATTGTTCCCTAATATATTTACCCCCTTTTAAAATATCATGCTATGATCTTCATAGGACTGGAAAGATAAAGCACAGAGCTTGAGGGAAGACCTTGATATGGGAATAGCAGAGATAACAAAATGTCCAACCTGCAGCACCCAGTTCACAAGGGAGAAGGACTTTAAATACCACCAGAAAGGTTGTCATGAGTGCATTTGCGAGGAATGCAATGAATCGTTTGACCATGAGCAAAAGCTAAAAAGGCATAAAGACAAGAAACATAAAGACAGCTACAAGTGTGATTATTGTCAAAAGACTTTTGCTGAGAAACGAAATCTTATAAGACACCAAAAGTCACATGTTTAGTTAACCTATCCTGCATTTAGTGATTTTAATTGGAGATGATTTGAAAGGACTATTGGATCAATCTATAATACATAATTGTTTTTGTTTTTAAATTATTATTATTATTATTGATTTTTGAAATTAATTGTGGTCATTGCAGCACATGTACATCATGTTACTGTTCAAACCAAATTTTAAATCATTACAAATGTTGTGTTAGACTTTAACAGGAAAAATGAATTAAAACTTATTTACAATGTCAAAACCTCAATCTTTTTAATAACCTTGTTGTTCAGGGGCAGATCCAAGGAGAGAGGTTTTTAATCTAGGCAATTTGCCTTAAGTGAATTTCCCTCTATGTTAAACATTATGTGAACATTGCATTGTTTATTCACTAAGATTTCTCTGTTTTCCTATTTTTTCCTTTGCATGTGCTTTGTCTTGGATTTCATAGTATGGGACCCAGACTTCTTACTACTTTTAGTGTTTGTTTGTACTGCTTTAGCCAAGTCATGGCTGCGCTTCCTCTTGGAGGTGGGTTCTTGAAGCTGTACTGGTCGCCCTTTTGATACAACCTGACGGCTTCCACTACCACACTTTCGTTTTCTGTTGGGCTGGACTCGGATCTTTTTTCCATTTCCGGTTTTTTCACCTCACTGGACCCAAAAGTAAAAAGAGTGCTTGCCAAATTAGAATGCATAGATCTAGCAGCGGTTAAGGATGTTACCCTTTTTGGGAACCTGATTACACCCTTAGCCAAATTAAGGTCTCTTGAGCTTTGGAGCTTTTGAATTATTTGTTCACAAGAGTTTCTCAACAATTGTTCAGCATTTGCAATGGAATCATCCTCATCATCATCATTGCTCTGTATTGATTCAGCAGTGCAGCAGTTTGGCCCTTGTTGTGCTGTTTCCATACTAGTGGATGCCTCTGTTACAAAACCATTAGAACCATCAGTTTGTGATGTTTGTCCAGCATCACTAGAGCGTAATGGCTTATAACAAGCAACAGGAAGTGTCTTTCCTATTGCTAGCCAGGCCAATTTCTGCCTCTCATGTGGATTACTGACTGGAATGAAGTTTATGCAGTCTGCTAGATTTGCCACCCACAGGACATAGTGGTGTTTGCATGGGCTCCCGTCTTTACCAACCGTGCAGCTACATATCCCAAGAGTCATGTCCACTGTATAACTGACAAAGAACCAATGAGACAATTCATAAATATCTCAATACAACTGGAATTTTTGTTTTTCAATCTGTAATAGATACATTCTAGACCTTCAACTGGTTGATCCACTAAGATATTAATAGAAATATTCCTAACAGCAGAGTAAGGGCTTGCTCTTACTCTGCTATAAAAAACTCAATAACCCTGCCAAGAAGGGAAATTACTAAAGGTAACCCACCCCCTGGACAATATATTAGTCATGTTTTGGTCTTCCTTATGCTAAATCAACATCCTTGAAATGCAGCATATGGATGAACTGCAGGAATTATCTCATATGTTATGCATGTTATGTCCCCATGTTTTATGTATTTTTTTGTTCCAAAGGGAGGAGCCTAGAAACACTGCCCCCCCCCCCTGCTTCCCCTATCAAGATAATTTGAATCAGACAATGGGGGAAAGATAGGAAAATAATGGCCACCCACACATGCCCTCTTGTACCACCAGAGCGTTATGCTATTGTGATGGCGAAGAAAAAACACTACTGACCTGTGACTGCTATCTGAAGAGCTTCCAACTTTGAATACATTATTGCCAAAGTTCTCTACAGTTGAGATGTAGGCATCAAGATCTTTTTTATCTGGGACTTTAAACCCTGTGCTTCCGTCTTTCCCTTTCTCAAAGAATCGATGTCTGTACATGCCATCAAAACTCCCATCAGCAATACTAAGGAGCTTATTCTTGTAGTGATCTTCTAGATTAATAGTCAGCTTGTCTAGAAGCCCAACAACATTGTACTCTTTTGGTGCGCTGCAGAATTACATCCTTAAGAACCAAAAACTGAGCCTCGGCAAAATTGTTGGTGTGGTTCCTCCAACAGGCAGTTCAGTTCTAAAGCATAGAGCAAACGATTCTTTGTCATTGTATAGATTTTGCAAATAGCTGACTAGATTTGGGTATTTCTTGCAACGGCCATCATTCAAAAGTTCACTGAAGCAGTTCTCAAAATCTTGTTTTGTCTCGGCATATAAGGACCTCTTGAAAAGGGTGAGAAAATAGGGTCTATCTGCTTGGCTGATACTGTTCTTGCTCTCGTGAAGCCATCTCCAAAGTTGTTGGAGCATGTGGAAGATGCAAAGACGTAAAACAGATGTTGGCCAAACAGACTTCAGAGCATTTCTTTCCTCTTTACAGTTGTCTGTTAGGATGACTTGGGGGCCTTGTTCCCGACCACGACCATTGAATGCATACTCTGGTAAACAGGACCGAAGCATTTCAAAGCCCTGTTTAAGTGTACGCTCCTGCTCATCACTGGTGATCAAGATGCCAAGTGGAAGTGCTCCAAATACATTGTTTGTGCACATTAAAAACACTTTAAGATTGTGCTCTTCTGTATTAGAAGTAGCATCAACAAAAACCATCTCACCAGACTGCTGCACTTCCTTGTGTACACGGTTCATGAGAGGCGTTACAATAGCAATTATAAGAGGCGTATCATCACCTTCATACATCTGGTAACAAGTAGTAGCTTCAGGGTTGTCTTTCTTGTATTGTTGAAGCCTTTCGGAAAGTCTTTCAAACATCATAACGCCCTGTCCACCATACCTATCCTTACCAAATTGCGTGTAGAGGTAACTAAAGTCCCTTTTTCTCGGCATAACTGCCCGATTGGCCTTTTTCCTGTGAAATTCCAATTCATCCTGACATGATTCTTTGAGTTCTTTCAAGTACTGTTGCCTTGCGGTTGCTGGTGTATGCCCACTTTCAAACAACTTCAAAACCCTTTCTGTGCACTCAGGAGAAAGGTCACGGAAATTAGAGGCCTCCAGAGTTTCAAGTGAATGGTTGTGTTCCCACTCTATGTCCACAGAACAACATCCCTCGCTGTCTATTTTGACTATCATCTGAAAGGGGCAATTGGTGTTCTTTACTCTGGCAGATGGGTTCAAGTACAATTTCTGCTGTGGATCTTTACTTGGACTCCAGTTGCGAGTGTTGTGTTGGCATCTATAGTAGTTTTGCAACACATAGCCGCTTGTTGGTGCCTTCTTTGTCTTTAACTTCACTGAGATGCTGTTTATCACTTCATATTCGGATATCCACTGCTCCAGGTTTTCTTTCGTTATATCTTCGGTCAAAAAGTGCACTTTGAACTTTTCTCCATTTCCAGAAATTGCCTTCAGGTAGTAAAATGAATCATCTGGAAGCGAAGCCAGAAAACGCTCCTTTGTAATTTCGGTCGATTCAAAAGATTTACTTTTCGATTCGACTTCTTTTATAGCTGAAGATATTAGATCTTTGAGAAAATTGTCGGGTTTGTCCGCCATTTTGATTTGATAAAAATCGCGATGGTTTGTAGGAAAGCTAGTCACGTATTGCTCTGATTGTCACGCATGTCGTCGGAGAGAGTCGGAAATATCGGTTCCTTCTTGGCATCGACCTTTACGATGGCATCGACCGTCATGAGAAATGGCATCGACCGTTTCAAATGGCAACGACCGTTCTGAGAAATGGCATCGACCGTTTCCAATGGCAACGACCGTTCTGAGAAATGGCATCGACCGTTTCAAATGGCAACGACCGTTTACGAAACGGAAATTTGCAGCGGCGAAGTCACCGAAGGCTTCCAGCGTACTCCTAACCTGCGATCAAGTGGTCATTCTTCCCTTTAGTAAGAAGGCGAGGCAGGCGACACTTATTTTCCCTTTCCCCTTCAGGTGCTCCATACCATTGGTACCAAGCGATTGAAGACAAACGGAAAGTTTCTCGTGGACCTAACTGAATTTATTTCCGATAAGAGGTACAACATTCCATTAGTTTATTTTTTTAATTTTTTTTTCATTTAATTTCATTTTCGGATGTAATTCATTCAATTTATTTAACTTGTCTGTTTAAACTAGTTACCCTGAAGTAAATTTTGGTGCGAAAAAAAAAGGAAAAATCTTTTTAATCCTTTAACGATGTCCTTTCATTTGACCAGTTATCATAGCAAATTATGTTTCAGCCACTCCACCCTCTCCGATAAAGTTTATGGCAGATTCTTTCACAGGGAAACAACTTTTGTCATAGATATAAACGCAGACACCCTTGAGACTTATTTAGGAAAATAATAATTGCTCAGCCAAAGGGCGCGTGTTTCCATGTAATTACGTATTAAGTTAGGCCGAGGCCAAACGTCCAACTTTTCAGATATGGAACGAATCAAAATCTTAGTGAGTTAAGTTCATGAAAATGTCGACGTCTGGCTCAGTTAAGTTCGTCTGAACGAGTTTGAAACGTCCAACACGGATAGGACGTCTGAAAATCGTCTCCAGGACAAACGTCGTTCTTCACATGCGACTGACGAACTGAACTAACAGATTAGAAAGTTGTAGGATACTGTATATTTAGCCTCGTGTGGAAGAAAATTTATACTGATCTGATGCTGATGACTTGTTCGACGCTTCCCAGTAGTTCGACGTTTAACCCAACAGACGAACTTAATTTAGGTCGGCCCAAATTATAGTTTGTTTTTTCTCATTCGACGTTTGGCCTATGTCTTAGCCTGGAGCTGAGCTCCTATGAAAGGGGTGATTGTGTGTGATACAACTGATAGACAAAAAAAGCACGATATGCAATTTTATTTTTAAGGCTTATAAACAGGACGATTGACAATTGAAGCAGTTAAATGGCCACACCTGAAAAACAGCGAATTCAATTGAGCTACATGTATTACAATACCATAAACTAAAAGGCGTTATCCAAAGCTATTTGTAAGACCCGTAAGAGAATGGCAGGCACGTACTTTGAAATATTGACTAATATCTGTTAAATAAGCCACTCTTTTTGGTTTTTGTTTTATATACTCCATTTTGATCCGGTGTTTTTGTTCCGTCCAGCTTTGCTTATACAATTTAATCTGCATTTTACTCTTAATGCTACATTTTAATTGACACAAAAGTTTAATTTTTGCAGCGCCGAACTTAACGGAAGAAAGCTACTAGAGCGCATGTCAGAATCAGGAAGGTGCTGACCAGTGGTACTTTGGCTCCATTGCACAGGTCACCCTCGCAGCAGTAAACATTGCACTTGTCGATCGAAGACCCTGAAAAGTTGCACAGATCTGTCTTATTGCAGGCCACTGGAGACGAACATAGTTTAATAAAACCTTTGGATGAGTCGGCTTTAACACTATAAGTAGCCTTCACACAGCGATCAAAACCAGCTGGACAGGCATCATTGACTTTGGTCTTCTCACAGTCATCCCAATCCAATGTTGAGTGGCACGAGTAGCAAGTGAGGCCGTATGCTGTAAATCAGGGATCAAAACTAATTTAAATAGTTTTTATCGCTGAATTTTAAATAGTAAAAATGATTTGAATAATAATACCAATAATACTTATCATTTATATTGCGCAAATTAACAAAAAAATATCAGTCACATGCGCATTGCATGATAAAGAATTAAAATTAATAAAAATAATTATATATACAAAATAAATGCCAAACAACTTAAAACATAAGATAAAAGCTATAAGAATTCTAAGACTAAACTAGGTTGAAAAGGTTTTAAGGTGGCTCGACTGGATTTTTTGGGGTTGATACCTCCCAAGTTTGAGCATTAACTCAATCAATTTCAGTTACATATCAAGGAAGAGGCGGTATGATCATACGATTAGCCAGTCATTAATAACTAGGGCAGCAACCTAAGTCTATTATCATTTATCCATGCGATAAATGTGAATTTATGACCTCTAGTTTATGATCACTGAATCATTATTTCTGATTAATGATCACTGATCATTGAATATACAAGTTGCCAGATCCATCGAGGGTAATGAAAGTTACAAGTAATACCGAACTAGCAGGGGGCTTGATCAATAAAGTAGCAACTATTAAAATCCCCATCTCATCCGCTCGAGGAATCAGCGATAATTATAATAATGTTAATAATAGTAATAATAATCGAAAATATTATTAATAAATAGTTCTACTTGCACCCTGCCATTATTTCCACATGCTTGCCACTTAGGGTACAGGGCTGGTCTTAGTTACTTTAGAATGACTCAGCTAATAATTATTATTGAAGCCTTTCCAAGGAAATTATTCTGATTTCTTCACGGTCATCTGGGTCTTGATTTTTCAGTGGTAAAAGGGGCCCAGCATTTACATCTGATTGCATTGCACCCGCTATAACAAAGTGTAAAAGTAAAATACTTCTTGTAGGAAAGGTCGACAACAAACTTTCCCTACATTAAGAATAAATTAGACAAGTGATTCCTGCAGGAAGGTAAAATGCTGCAAGGATGCTTTAGTGAGCTGTTTAGTGAACAAGCCCTCATGCTTCACGATCACAAAATCACTTGTAGATAACAATGGTAGTCTTTACACTAGAGCCTAAATAAGCTTAGAAATATTTCAAGACAAGTAAATTTTAATTACTTGGAGTAAAATAAAGCTTCACACCCAACCGATTCTTTTTTACTTCATGTATTTTCCCACGCAACATAATTTAGATTGATTGACATATTTCGCCTTTCTCAAAGCTCAAGTAAACGCAAGTTAGCTAAGTCGTTAAGGATGCCTGGTTTTCAAGTCGCTTGAAACTTTCTTGAATCGTTTCAACTTTCCGACTTAATGAGATGCAAAGCAAAGTTACTTGAGATCTTACTCAGACCTTCACACACGAATTTTTGGTTAAGTAAAACTTAGCAGCTCTTAAGTCTTACTGAACAGCCTAGTGTAAAGACAACCAATTAGGAAAGTTGAACGCTCCATATGAGGTCAGTTTACACGGAAGAGTCTTTTTTATATAGTTTGATTTTTGTTTCAGTGCATGTGCTACGATATTAGGTGCGCCTTTAAATTGTTTGTGTCAGCTGGCGGCTGATTATATTTGCCATGAATCGCTTTAAAATCACGATTGCTGCCAACCAGAGACGTTTATGCGATTGATCGACCAATTTCTGCTCGAGGATGGTTAAAAACTACCTGCTTTTGAGCCTCTTAGCGGATATTAGTGATTCCTTTGAGCGATGGTCGATTTTCTCAGGAGGTTTAATCAACTGCAATGTAAACCTGTTAAATGAAGACTCCCTTAAAAAGTACTTTTAAGTTTTATTACCTCTTGCCGTTGAAACGGAATCTTTTTGCTGAGCTGCAAGTACGTGCTAAAATCAGTCCCAAAAAGAACAAATATTGAATTCATCTAGAACTGAGAGACTGAATATGCTAAACAAAGAAGTTATTGGAAACGGCCTTTCTTGTATTTCAACCAACGAAAGAATAAGTTGGAAAATTTGACCACATGCACAAAGGCAAAAAGGATTCATTTGTCAATTAGAACTCAGCTTAAGTCTAGACCTTAGAAATGCAGTATCACTAGAATCCTTTAAGAATAATTATCGAAATATCTTATTTAAAGAGCAGCAGGAATTGAATTACACCATTTCATAGTTTAATCATATTCTTGTATGTATTTCACTAGCCTTATCATTAGCTCTTATACTCATTCATATTGATGTAAAACCTTTATGTTTCCTTAGTTTTATTTATTTTGTACTTAGACTTTGTATATTCTGAATCATTCATGCTTCATGCATTTATGCTTTTTGTAATTTTAATTTAGATAGAGGGCCACAAGTTTACTAGTTTCTGTAACTATTCCGTGCTACCCTCATTAAATAAAGTGTATTATTATTATTATTATTATTATTATTATTATTATTATTACTCGTAGATCGTAGTTTACAACCCTAGAAGGTGAATAGCAGTAAGCTACACCAACACCAGACTCCGTCGAAGTTGTTTTCTTTTTCTGTTAGTAAAGAAACGCGTCTGATTTAAAAGGGTGAAAACAGGCCTTTTCTCAGCAGGAGCGTCATGTCAGTTCAAAACCTTCTATGATCTTTAGCCACCATCCCTGACAGTAACGTTCTTAGGGGTTCGCCACGCGTTACTAAGCCCTAAGAACATCTATCTGGGTGGGAGGGACTAACCGTCTTGCGTGAAAAATATTGGTGAAAAATATTGGTTGGGTTCAAGGGGTGTGAGACAGTGTCAAACACGCTCACGCACGTCATGATAGAGATATTACGAGGTCTCGAGGTAACTGGCTTCCGACGGAAGTATTATTTATATTGGTATCTTGAACGCTTGAGGAACAAAACTAAATAAGTATCCTTTCCCGATTCGTAGCCAGAAGCAGTAAAAGACATGTTTTAAATTTATCAAATTATTCTGTGTCTATAGTATTGGTAAACGTGTACTTCAAATTTCTGGGAGGGCTATACGACTTAGTATAACCAGGCTCTTGTGAAAAAGAGGATAATTTAACTGAATTATGAAATGAATAAATTCATTTAAAATAAAGTGAGACAGAAATAATCAAAATATTAAGACGTGTGTAGATGGGTGAGATAAAGCTGCAGAGAGTCATGTTTCCGCATCTTCGCCCTCTCACCAAAACACGTACTAAGGGGTTACGGTTTTTGTCTCTTTTTTTTTAATATTTGTATGAGAATTTTATCCATATGCTACATATTTGTTGAGTTTTCATTATTTCATGTATTACGTTCAGTACCAAAAAATTATTTAAAGCAAAATTCTCTTAATTCATTGAAGCTAAAAAAGTCATCGATAAAATGAACGACGTTTCGGTGTCACTTTTTAAATAATGGCCCCCCAAGGTTTATCAATATCAAGTATATGGTTTGAATGGATACACACAATACGAAAGGTACGCCCCATAAATGCAGCTTGCCTTGACATTGACTGCTTGTTACATGATTGATGCATGTTACATATGTTCGTGTCTGAGCGGTACATCGAAAGGAATTAGAGTAGATCCCGTATTTGAACCTTTTTGCTCCTTCCAGCCAAGATCTCAAGTGTATATATTAGGCTAGGCTCAAACACAAATTTAGTGGATTTTAATTACAAGCATTTTCATCTCTCACATCTTCGTGAACCTTGGCAAGCAGTTTCTAATTTGTATCTATTTGATTAACTTTTTCAGTTCTTTGTCAGTCTAAATCACATGACTCACATTCGCCTTGTAATGGTCAAACTTTTTATCTCCAAAACTGAGGAATACTTGGTCAAATTGTGTTCGCCTTATCTATTTTTTTCGTTTGGCTTTTCTATGGCTTGGCTAAAAATTGGCTTGGCTTGGCTATGGCTAAAAAGGCGGAGCCACGTTAAGATCATTTTGATATCGACAGTTAAAGGCACGAGTTTCTGACGTCGTCATGAGCGAAAAATTATTTTTTCTAAGGGGCCGACCATTTTAACTCTTGAGGAGGGGGGTGGATGCTTTGTATGTGTAATCAAATGGTGACGAGTGACATTAAGGAATAATTTCACGCGTGTTTTGTCGAAATCCTGATAATTTCCCGGGCCTTCAGGTGAGGGAAATTATTAGGATTTGGACAAAACGCAAGTGAAATTATTCCCTAATTTCACGAGTATACCATTTGATTACCTATCAATTTCATAGGTTGACGAATTACGTTAGTAATCTTGGATTTT